AGATAGATAGATAGATAGATAGATAGATAGATAGATAGAATAGATAGATGATAGATAGATAGATAGATAGATAGATAGATAGATAGATAGATAGATAGATGGAGTCCTGGTGTGGCACTCCGATTTAATATGCTGGAACATAATGTCGGTTTCAACCAAAAGTTTGGTGATTCAAACTCCCCAGCCACTCCTCAGAAACCCTATACAGGGTCGCTCTGAGTCAGAACCGACTCGAAGCACTTAACAACAATAAATATATGTATATAAGAAGTCCTGATATCGTATTGTAGGATAAGCATAGGGCTGCAATGTCAGTTTGAACTACAAGGTTGGTGGTTCCAACTCAACAGTCGCTCCTTGGAAACCCTATATTGGGTCACTATAACTCAGAACCTACTCAACAATACATAAAAACAACAATAATATATATGTTTGTTGTTGTTAGAGGCCACTGAGTTGGTACCAACTCATAGAGACCCTTTGCACAACAGAATGAAACACTGCACAGTCCTGAGGCAACCTCACAATTGTTGCCACTCCTGAGACTATTGCTGCTACCTCTATGCCAATCCATTTCATTAGCGGCCTTCCTCTTTTCTCTGACCTTCCACATTACCAAAAATATCCTTCTACAGGGACTGGTCTCTCCTGATAACATGTCTGAAGTATGAAGACAAAATCTGATATACTGGATGCCAAAGAACATTCTGGCTGTACTTCTTACAACACAAATCTGTTCATTTTTTGGCAGTCAATCGTACTTTTAATATTATTCTCTACCACCATAACTCAAATGCATCAGTTCTTCTATGGACCTCCTCCTATGCACTGTTCAACATTCATGTGCCTATGACGTTACAGAAGATACCATGGTTTAGATCAGGTGCACCTTTGTCCTCAAAATGACATCTTTGTTCTTCAAGACTTTAAAAGAGGTCTTGTGCAGCATATTTGCCTTATCAATAGGTTGTTGATTTCTTGACTGTTACTTCTATGAATGTTGATGCTCAATCTGAGCAAAATGAAGTCTTTGACAATTTCAATCTTTTCTCCATTGTATTGAATGTTGTTTGTTGGTCAAGTGGTGAAGATTTTTCTTTTCTTCGCATTGAGGTGCAACCCATACAGATAACTGAAGTCTTTAATCTTCATCAGAAAGTATTTTAAATTCTCATAGCATTCAGTAAGCAAGGTTGTATCACCTGCATATCACAGGTTGTTAATGAGTCTTCCTCCAATCTTTGTACCATGTTTTTCTTCATATAATCCAGCTTCTCTGATTATTTGCTCAGCATATGCATTCAATGAGTATAGTAAAAGAATGCAACCCTGGAGCACATCTTTTTTAATTTTAAATCATTCAGTGTTCCCTTGTTCTGTTCCAACAACTATCTCTTGGCCTAAATACAGGATCCTCACGAACACAATTAAGTGTCCCGGAATACACATTATCTACAATGTTGTCCTTAGCTTGTTATGATCCACACAATCAAAAGTCTGTACATAGTCAATAAAGCATAGGCAAACCTATTCCTGGTATTCTCTGCTTTCAGCCAAGATCCATCTGACGTTAGCAATAATATCCCTCATTCCATATCCTATTTTGAATCCAGCAAGAGCTTCTGGAAGTTCTCTATCACTGTATGGTTGCAACCACTTTTGTATTATCTTTAGCAAAATTTTATTTGCACTCAATATTTATGATATTGTCTGGTGATTTCTATGTTAAACTGAGTCACGTCTTTGGAATGGGCACAGATATGTATAGTTTGCAATTGGTGGCCAGGTAGTTGTCCTCCAAACTTTTTTGGCGTAGATGAATGAGCGCCTCCAATGCCAAGTCAGTTTGTTGAAAGATTTCAATTTGTATTTTGTCAATTCCCAGAGGTTTTTTTTTTTTTGACAATGCCTTCAATGCATTTTAGATTTCCTCCTGCAGTATTATTGGCTCTTGATAATACGCTACTTCTTGAAATGGTTGAACATCAACCATTTCTTTTTGGTACAGTGA